ACAAAATGTCTGGACAGACCCCTGGTATATAAACTGCTTAAGTTAAGTGAAGCATCTGAACTTGTTTGTTAAAAATTTGCTGAATTTTATGCCCCCTGCATAGTGCAGTTTTCCAAAAAACTTATTCTAACAAAGCTGACTGAGCATTTGCGACATCTAAATATATCGGTGCCGTGAACAGCGTTATTTTTTCATGACTTTTGTAACCGAATTCCAAAATTTCTGCACTTTTTACAACTTTCACAATTAACATACTGTTTGTTTCATTTCTCTATCTCCTTTTGTTTTCTCTATTTTTATTTCTCTATTTCCTTTTGTTTGGACACCCTATATATAAATTCTGCGTAGTTCGGAATGGGGTAGGCTGAACTTGTAGTGTTATGTTTCTGAATCCAGGTCATTATCTGACCTGAACTGAATTCAGTTACTTGAAAATTTATATATAATTCCACTTTCCATATTAACACTGCAACGCTAAGAGTTCATAATTCGTATGACATTTAGGATTTGTCTATTGTGCTTCACATGATGTTTAATGTTAGAAATGCATTTAGTAAGCAGTAACTCCCTTCATTCGCCATAACTCGTCAAATATGCAAAAAATTATCGAGAGGACGGGAAAAATAACTGATGTATAGCGAGGTTGAAAATTCATATTTTATATGGAGACCCGCTTTTAGTGAAAAGGGACTCTGAAATCTGAAAGTTTTGAGTCCTAAGGACCTGTAGTTTTCGAAGTCTAGTGGAGTGACTGATTAAGACGTTATCAAAAGTAAAGTTTTTAATTTTTGTCTTTGGTAAAAAAAGTATTCTTGCTAACTGTCAATTTAAACACGCAGGCATTTCACCCAAATCATATATTGCTTGAAGCCTTTAATACCAGATGATTAACTGTATATTTTCAGACACTTCCCTGTGGTGATCAGACTGAAGTGGGGGATAAGGGAGTTACTCTGAGTGGAGGACAAAAAGCCAGGATTTCTTTAGCTCGAGCTGTTTATCAGGTAATTAATCAACTGGGCTATAATGTTCAGGATAATTTTTTTGTTGCATTTTCTGAATTTTTGATCGTTTTTTCCTTTATTGGGTGTTATTGTTCATGTTTTTTTTTCTATAATTATTTTTATTTTTTAGATGTTTTAAAATTTTATTATATTTGTAAACTTTTAAATTTTTAAATTTTTTTTATGTCATGTGCTGATCGTGATTATGTGCATCTAGCGATGTTAATCATCATAATCTGAGTGCTTTGTTTTATCCTCATTTATTTCTTATTGATAATGAGTTAAGTTTTTGTTACACAATCATTTTATTCATAGAAGGATAACTTAATCCCAAGTTTATAAGGTGTATCATTTTTATAGAGTAGATAAAAATCAAGGAAAATTTTTAGGCTTTTAGAAAACTATGAGAAAGCTGTAAGACTCTAAAAATTATAATAAAAATTCTTGAAAAAATATTTCTTGGTTTTTAAACTGAAGTTTATTTTTTCATAGTTTTTGAATGGCACAACTTTAATTTTTCTGGCTAAACTAGATAATCTATGTTAACAGAAATTCTAATGCTTTGCTATCAATGCAGTAGTATTTGGATATTTTTATTATTTAAGATAAGCTCTGTTTTACAAAATAATTTTGTAGTTTCAGTTTCTAGAACTGTTCAGAGACCTATAAAAAGTTGCATTGAACTCAAATATTGAGAAAATGAATCAAAATCAAGGATCAGTTTTGTCATTTTGGTAAATTTTTTAGAATGCCAATGACTATGTATTATAATTATAAAGGTGACATGATTTAATTTTCTTGCGATTATCAAAATTCAAATTTAAGTTTTAACAATTTTTTTAAACAATTTCTTGCTTTAAATTGGTTTTAGATACATAACAATTTGTGTAGTTTTGCTGTGCTGTTCTCCAAGCTGATAGATTCAGAATTAATTTTTCATATTCTTATATAAAGTATTGTTTTTATTTATGTATGCAGGGGTGAGTTTTGTCTTCTTTTTGACAGAATTCTGGCTTTTTTTTCCAATTAAGTAGAACGAAAAATTATGCCTTTTCAAAAAAAGGTCTATTTTTTAAAAATTTCTATGTTCGCAGGGGCGAGTTTTGTCCGCTGTTGGACAGAATTTCGTCTTTTTTTTTTCAATTCAGTTTAAATTTTTTTTTTTGCCTTTTCAAAAAAAGTTTTACTTTTTAGAAATACAAGAAACAAAATTGTTTTGTAATTGTACCTACTTACACAAACACACACTTCAGGATTGTTATTCACACAATTTGAAATTACACATTGCAATATGTATTCGCTCAGTTTAATATTACGCATAGGGAGATTTATATTCGCATAATTTAAAAATCTCATATTGGGTCTCGTATTCACATGATTTAAAAATCACACATCGAGATTCCTATTCATACAATTAAATAAATCGGGCATCATTGTTTTTCATTATTTTATCGATAATATTCTATTTATACATGCTTCCAACTTACACTCTTTTTCTTGCTCAAATATAACTTTTTTTTTCTAATTATTTATTTTAACATTTTAAAATTTCTATTTTCAACTTTTTTGGCTTTTCACTATACTCATTATTGTATATTATAAATTTCACATTGTTAACCTTCCCTTTATATAATTATAATTTTTTTTTACGAACTGTTATAGTTGAAAAATATAAATTATCATAAGCTGTATTTTTTTTTTGGGTCTACTGTAGTCTTAGCAATTATCAGTTCTAAGAACTATTGAATTATATTGATACACTTTTATTCTTCTTATGATCAATGGTTATGCTAAGGATAGTGCTTAAATCACAGATAACAATAATTATAAATATTTAAATTACAGAACAGGCAATAATAATTAATAAATTTATTCCTCGTAAGTGCAACTACCAGTGAATCAAAAAAATTGTTAGTTGCGAATATATTTGACTATTATTCACATTTTTTTTTCTCTCCTATTTAAGTGCATTGAACATAAATTATCTCTTAACTTTAAAAAATCACTAAAATGTGGGATAAAAAGCACCATTCGTTAAAACCAATTGAGAATGTTGCAAACAAGCTGTGCTTGCCTTGTTGGTTTTTTAAAGTTAGCTTTGCCCCACTTATAGAGGTTTGTATTAAAATTTAATTACTATGGAATATTTTTTTCTAAATAGATTGTCCTGATATATGTTATACGTTTCTTTTATTATAATATTTTATTTTAGGATTTTGATATTTATTTGTTTGATGATCCCCTGTCAGCTGTTGATGCACATGTTGCCGAACACATATATTCCAACTGCATTATGGGTATTTTAAAAGACAAAACCCGTATTCTGTGCACCCACAAAACACAGTTTGCTGAAAATTGCGATCATTTGATGATTTTGTCTGAAGGGCAGGTGGTCAGCCAAGGTATTTTATTAAAGTTATCAATTTCAATGCTATATATTAATAAAAAATATTATTAAATTTTTATTTATATATATTTGGTTATTTTGATCTGAATAATAGTTTTTTCAAAGTGCTGTTACATAATCTTACATAAGTTATAATACTACAAGGATCAACCTTTTTCCTGACCGAAAAACTTAGTTCATGATAGAAACTGAAAACATTTTTGCATTATGAATGGCAGGGTGCGTAGCGTTTTTAAAAAGTGCTTATTTTCGATCTTTGTCTTCTAAAAGCCCTTAAAGATGCTTTTTTTGATTGGGTGTTTGGATGCTTTTTAAAAAGTGCTTGATTTTCCCTTTTCCAAAATGAAATTTTTCCTTTACCATGTTGATTTTTGCTACGAATTATGCAGAAAAACATTGTTCGCATTGCTCTATTCAACGTTTTCACAATTAATTCAACCCCAATCTATTTTGGCGTATCGTCAGTCTGTAGCGCATCAAAATGCTATTCGATTTACATGATCCAAAAATTTAGACAATTGTCAAAAACTTTCCAATCCTACCTAATTGTGATTTTTTTAAAGTGCTTAAAAATATTATTTGAGTGCTTAAAAGGTGTTTATTTTTTGTTGAATAACTTGGCTACGACTGAATGGGCTTCTCTATCCTCTTCCTGTGTAGTGGAATGATTGTAAAGGCACCAGTAGAACACCGAAGTCAAGCATCACTGCTTGCAATTGGTAAGCAGGTAGGTGATTACTTTGATCAGATTTTGTAGGGACTGACTGTGCAGTATTTAAACTGTTAAACTTTTCTACCGTAAAGTACTCGACTTAACGCACAAGTCGCCTGGCTACCAAAGGTGGGGAGCCATCCCTTCTGCAGAGGATCAAAAATGCGTTGGCATGTCTTCATTTCATGCTCGAGGATGTTTCCTAGACCGTCGCCAAAAGCCCTTTGTGCTGCTCTAGTGCGACGTAAATAAAGTAGCTAGTTACCTATCCTCTTCCTCCCACTATCTGTTTTGACTGAAGAAAAAAATGCTGCAGGGAATGGAAATAAATTTTTATGCAGGTGTCAAGATAATTTGAGAGTATTGAGTTAATTGCTTGTGAATTAAATAAAGTTGTTAATAAATCAATTCATTTTTTAAAATTTTTTGTTCTTTAAAATGAAAAAAATAGTCTTGTTCCACGACCTTTTAAGTTTTCATTTCACATTTTATTGTTCACTGTATTTTAAATAGAGGCTTTATTTATACAATTGTATATATGAATAAATTTTAAGTTGAAGGATTATTATTTAACTCATTTACCCTATTGTAAGTTTAAAAAAAAATAAGTAATGGTATATTATGCTTATTATTTTTTAAAAATAAATCCTTTTTTTTCTATGGAAATGAAATTTTATACTGCTCACAAAATTATCATGTGTTGTTAGTTATGTATTTCAATGTCACTCAACTCAAAGATCTGCATAAATATAACAAGAGTATGGATTAAGAATTAGATTTTCTGTGATTTACAGATGGTTTATATTTTTTTCCTCCTCTGTAGTATAATACTGCTGAATATCTGTGTTTAATGCTCTGCAATATTTACTTACTGCTCTTAAGTAAGTGTTACAGCTCTTAAGTAAATGAAAATTGAAATGGAAATTCTACTGTTACCCCATAAATTTTGTATGCATCTTCATTTTGAATTGTGTGAGTGACAATCTTGTTTGAATTAAAGAAAATTAATAAAATTCTGTGAAAAATGTATTAATTTTTTTCTCAGGATCAAAAGCAATATCGAATGTTTCCATTTAGGGAAACGAATCAAATAGTTACATTTACTTAAATATTTCTTGTCTTCTTTTTCTTATAAGAATATAATTTTCCATTAAAATATCTTTATTTGGACCCCAAAATGTCGACTAAGTGAGGTTTCATTATATCCTCTTGATCCGAATTACATTTTTGGTATAATTTTAGCCCTGAAAAAAATTATATTTTCAGTTTTTTTGTTTGTTTGTGTGTCTTCGCAAAGCAATTGATTTAAAAGAAATATAATTAGTTTTCCCCACCTTTGTCCAAGGATTTTAATGACAATGAAAAATTAAGTAAGAAATTTGATTCAAGTAATTTTTTGGGTAGTTTTATGGCATATAAATATCTAATTATGTAAGTCCAGAAGATTTTTCTTCATGACCAAAATGTAAACTATAAAAATTTCCAATAATATGCAGATAATGCTAAAAAATTAAAACATTTTTTATGAAATAATTAAAATGCATAAAATACTAAAAAAACTTTATGAAATTCAAGTAATTGATTTTTTTTTTTTAAAAAAAAGAAGCATTTTATTGCTTTTTGATAAGTTTACTTCTTCAAAGCTTCATATTTTAAAGTGAAAATCACATTTTCATCGATTGTTTAAAATTTTGGTCCCAGAGGATTATTTATTTTTTTCTCTAGGGTTCAAATATGTTTGAAAACAAAAAACTACTGTTTTATTCGATCACATAATTTTCTTTCCATGTCGAGCAGGTCCACCAAGCAAGACATTGCAACTCTATTTTTTGGGTAATGAAGAAAGAGAGGAGGATAAGCAAGATTTTGCTTCAATCGATAAAGAAGTGAGTCTTGAAAGTATTGAAGCTCAGAAATTGGTGCAAGATGAGGAGAAAATGGAGGGTGTGATTAGTTTTCACGTTTACAAGTCCTATTGGAAAGCTGTAGGGCCAGTTTTATCAGTTACAGTGCTTTTGTTTTGCTTTCTTATGCAAGG